TAAATATCATCCCAAAAATCAATCTTTAAGTACAAGCCCTTAAAAGATAAGAAATAAAACACAAGAGGAAGAAAAAGTCCCATAACTGAGCTTTTTCGTTACATCATAACACCATCATGACTGCTCTAGCGCACTAGTCTCTCTTAAGGGCATGGCTGCTGCTCCGACAAAGCCTGGCTATGAAGGGCACCAAGGACGGATTAGTAGGGAACAGTGGAAAAGATTAAGCCACAGTCGCCTTTTTCCAAGCCTAGGTATTTTCTCTATATAATTCTGAACATTTTATGAAGAGTTATAATGGGGTATATATAGTGGGAATTTTTAGGGTTTAGTGCCCTTAGAAATTTCCTAAATACCCTTGAAGTTAAACTTTTTTGTGAATAACATAGCAGTTTGCGGTGGTCTCAAATTCATTGATGAGGGCATAATTGTACGTGAGGTAGAATAGACAACTGGCCATGTGACATCAATAATTTTGTCTCGTACTACGTCAGACTTTCGAGATAAAACTCTCATTGGCAAGAAAATTTGTTCCTCACTGTCGTTATCTTTTGTTCCACTGGCCCTAGCAAATTAATTTGTCTCAGCAAATAAATTATTTCTCATTCATTTCTTGCATTATCTAAATCAACAAAATGTCATTCTCATCAATAACATCAGTTTAATCAAATAAAATTTGCCTCGGTAAAACTTATACACGACATGAAAATATGTCCTAAATGCAACTATATGCATCTAAAATGTTATGTCAGTGGCTTTTAGACAATCAATAACTTAAGTAAAAAGACATAAAATATAGTCTTTTTATGGAGTTATCATGACCAAAGTGCAGGGGGACTAAAAAGCAAATATACCAATAATGCATAACATACATAAAAAAGGTTAATAACAAATTTGGTTCTCGCAGGTGACCAAAGTGCAAAAACATAGGAATCTTAGGGAGACTAAAACGTGAATAACCTCCCTAAACTCCTCTATAAAACATATTTCCTTCTTTTTCTCATTTTTAACCTATTTCAAAAAAAAACCTAAAACACTCTCTCAACTTTCCCTTTTGTCTCTCAAACGAGAGTCAAAACCCCACCGTCAACGCTACCGTCCGCCGTTCTGGCCATCATGCACGGTGGCCAGAGTTCTTAAACCAACCCCAAAATTACCCTAGATTTCTCATTTTAGACAACTATAAGTCTAAAACTAACAGTTAACAACCCTAAACTCCATAAAGTAGCATTTGACCCTTCGGATTCTTTGATCTCTAGCGACCAAATCTAGATGAGAAGCTATATCCCCTCAGGTAAACCTCTTTACCCCCTTTCTTTACTATTATATTTCCTTATATATATATATATATATTTATATATATATTATTTGCTTCAATTTATATACAAAAGAAGAAGAAAAAAACTACCTTAAATTTTTGCTTGGTTTTTTTTAAAGTGAGGGAAAAAACTTCTTTTACACTTTGATTTCTGGGTTTCTTATACCGAGTTTACATAGATGTAATAATAAAAAAATAAAACATAATCTATTGACTTCTGACCATCACTGTTGGTGATGATTTGTGCCCTTTAATGCCTCATATTTTTTGGGGTTTGGTTGGATTTGCCCTAATTTTCCTTTTGTAGTGTTGTTGAGATGATGATGGTGGAATAGTGAAGATGGTCGACCCTACGGACGACGGACGGTAACTTCGGCATATATGCTTGTTGGAATCGATGGCGACGCAAGCTTGGAAGCATCTATTAGGGTTAGGGTTAGGTTGTTTGGGCTAAGGCTTGTAATTGGGTCCGATTTTTGTTTTGTTGGGTAAATGGATTTTGGTTTGGGTATTGGGCTTTGTAGATGGGTTTGGGTTTGTAATAAAATAAATAAATAATAATATTTTATAATAATATTATTAATAATAATAGTTGAAAAATAGTAATTACAATCACTAAAGGGTCATTTTCAACGTGCTTGATGATGGCTACTGACAGAAGAATCACTATAAATATGTGTAGTTAAGAAGTTTTTACACGAACCAAGCAACCTTGGTGGAAAAGAAATTGTTGTTATTTCATGAGATCTCGAGTTAGAACACCATGAATGCCAGGAGTGTGAACATCCAAATTCATATAGTTGAGAGTTGTTTTAAACAGATATTGATTATACTTGGCCAAATTAATAATAATAAAAAAAGCTTTTAAGAACAATCAGCACAAGCAAATCCATTCTCATGAAAACTATACCATTAAGTAATATATATTTGAGTGTTTAAAAAAAGACTTTTGATATTTTTACTTTAGTCGCATATTCAAAATCTGATATACTCGGCGATGGGGTTATAGTATCTCAATTTGACTTTCAGTTCAAATAATGATCAGAAGTATTTATAGTTTATCTTTATATTGTTTTTATGCTATGAACTGGTATCTATCTTTACAAATATTTGATATATTGAATTGGAATTAAAACAAGTAAAACAAAACAAAAAAGTTTGGATAATGTATTGAAAAAAAATCATTTAGGATGTCGAGGGAATTTATTTTTTGAGATAGAATGTTTGTTATAATATTAGTAGGAACGGTGGTGGTTGTATGTATACTTCAGGACAATTATGTGTTTACCCTGAAATTCAAATTTCTTCATTTTTGTTATTTATTTTTTTGGTGTCCACCCTAAAATTTTATTTGTGACTACCCCATATGAAAAATTTATAGTATTAATGTTAGAATTTGTAAGCGGAAAAATAAACAAAGCGATATAAACATAAAAGAAGACATGCACAGGAGACGAGATTTGACGTGGTTCGGCCTTGTCTATATCCACGGTGAGATAAAAAATAATTTATTATAGATATAGAGAACACGATGAGTGCAAGTACATGATAGCACATGTATCTCAAAACTCAATATAGATATCAAAACTTGATGTATCCGAGAAACTCTCTTATTTCCTAGAAAATTATATATGCAACATAAACCCCAAAAGTTACAAAGATCTCAAAAAGGATTATATCTCTCCAAAATAATTCTCTCACACATTACATTAAGATATTAGTCAAATACTTGGTCACCAAGAATTCTTGCCTAAAATAATTATAATAAAATTCAATTTAATTACTAATTATAATTTAGGTCAAAATATAACAAATTTTCCCCTCGATCCAAATTTTATCAAAAAATTGGTCTTCAAGTCTTCAACAACTTCAATTTTACGTAAGTCGCATATATGTTGACGCATCGTTGTCAAGTCTTCAATAAGTTCAATTCTTACGTAATATTCATTGAAGTATCACTAGATCAATCGAGAATTACTTCCCTGCAACTGAAAACTCATTGCAGTAAATTCATCTTGCATGTTTCCAAAATCGCTAACAAAATCACATCAACAAATTCCTTCAATATTTCACAGTCCGAATCATAGCTCTGATACCACTTATTAGAATTTGTAAGCGAAAAAATAACCAAAGTGATATCAACATAAAATAATATATACACAAGAGATGACATTCAACGTGGTTCGGCCTTGCCTATCTTCCTGTGTGAGATTAGTAATAATCCATTGTAGATAAAGAGAACACGACGATTACAAATACACGATATCGCATGTATCCCAAAACTTGGTATGGATACCAAAACCTAGTATATCTCAAAAACTCTATCAATCCCTACAAAACTATCTTTGCAACATATATCCCAAAAGTTTCAGAGATCTCAAAAAGGATTACACCACTCCAGAATGAGTCTCTCACACATTAGGTTAAGATATTTTCTTCATTTATAGAGTCAAATACTTGACCACCAAGAATTTTTATTCCATGAGAATTTTTGCCTAAAATAATTAAAATAAAATCCAACTTAATTATCAATTATAATTTTTGTCAAAATATAACAATCAATACATATGTGCCTACCCTAAAAAAATATTTCTAGATCTGTCACAGGATAAGAAGATATGCAGACTATCTAGTATTTTTGGAAAGACATTTGAGAAACACTACATCTTCTGATTTGCTACTCTACTAAATTTAACATTCCGATTATATATAATTTAGAAAAAGATATCGTATCTTCCAAACATTTTTCCAAATACATCATACATTACATTTGTCTTCTTATTATCAATATAAGAAATACTTTATTTTAAAAAAACTAATTTCTCTAACAGCCTAAATGAGTTAAAAAATCACATAATATTACATAATAAATTTTTCCACCTATTCATCCATGGCAAAATGGATGAGATAATGTAAGTGGGGTTTTTTTTATTCCCAATATAATCCCTCCCGAGATTATTTCCATATCTAGAGTGAATTGAACAGTACTAACCTAAAGATGTCAGGTGCTCCACGCGTCTTCAAGTTAAATATAAAGACTCCACTACTGCATGACGTAATAAATTAAATGAAGAAGACCCCACCACTACATAGCATCTTCAAGCAAATTGAGAAGGCTCCAAAAGTATATGACATCTTCATACCAATAAGAAGTCTTAATTCAGAAAATAATATGATGGATGTCTTATATGAAAAAATTATTTTTCTCACGACTCTATATGATCCAGGAAGCCCTTCTTCCATTATCATCTCTACACCTCAACGAAAACCAAGGATCGAGTTTTATAAAAAAGAAAATCCCATTTAACTTCTAAAAAATAGTAACAAAAACGTATTTATTTAACCTAATAAAAGACTTGATTTATAAATTATAAATGTTAATTGTGATTACGTACTCGATGCACGACATTAATTTACAGATGGGTAATTAATAAGTTGAGCTGAAGCGATAATAAATTTTAAAGCTGAACTTTAATAAATTTATCAGAGAACTCCACCAATCTCCTGTCATAATCTTTCTTCCTTGCAGTATCTACCTTTCAACTTCTGCAACTTTGATTCAATTCTACACTATTACTCCTTCTCAGTCCGAGTTTGACTCACCCATTAATGCCCAGAATTTACATAATATTTGCAAAAATTTTGAGTATTTCACATCTAATGTAACATTCATCATAACCCCATGGGGAAGAAGAAGATGAAGCTCCCTTTTCTCTTCAAGAACAACAGCATACAAGCAAGGTCGACCTCATGGCCATGGCCTCCCTGTCAGCAGACAAGAACCCTTTCTTTCAGAGCTGATGAAACACCATTTGAGCCTGTGGATGATCCAGTTGAGACCGTGATTCAAGGTTTAGTAAGGTCGGAGAGGCTGTTTTTCGATCCGGGAGAGACCAGTTCAATCCTCGAAGAAGCGAAGACGACCAGTGATGATAATGATATTGCACCTTTCAGAAAGAGCGTGGTGATGTCCATGGAGTCTCGTGATCCCTTTGCCGATTTCAGGAACTCCATGGGAGAAATAGTGGAAGCTCAGGGGTTGAAGGATTGGGAAAATCTAGATGAGCTTTTGTGTTGGTATTTGAAAGCAAATGCAAAAGACAGCCATGGCTACATCGTTGCTGCCTTCGTTGATTTGCTTGTGGAACTCACCTTGATTAGTTATTCCACTGATAATAATTGTGTTCGTTCCCAGTCTCCTTTATCTTTCTACACTTCAGCGTCATCGTCTTCCTCTTCGTGTTCATCATCATCTAATTCTTCAGCTACAACGCCTTGTGTATCTTCGTTATCAGATCAGAAAGAGATCACTGAAGATAATAAAGATGATGTGTCTTCTTCATCTTTATCACACGGTGTTTGAACTTTGATTCAAATGGAGATATTGTTGTGTATATATCCACTGGTTTTCTGAAATGGTAATGAACTTTTTTCTTTCTGATTCTTTGCTCAATCTTTTCTTTTTACTTTCTGGGTCGCCAAACACGACTTAGACGTTTGCACATATCAACATGTTGCACTGTCTTCGGCAATTAATGAAAAAAGTTTGACAGTGCTAGTCGGAAATTTACACAGTGCCGAGTGGAGTGGAGTGGAGTGGAGTGGAGTAGAGTTTGAGTATTATTGAGCTCGATTTAATTTGAAAAATTTTAACTAAAGTTCGAAGCAATTCGAAAGTTTGTGAGCCTAAAATTTTAAAGTTCGACTCGAACTCGAAAACATAAATTGAAGTTAAAAAAAACTAGAAATGAAAGAAAATTTATACTTAACTAAGTTGAAGCTCGAATTTGAACCTAAAAGAAAACTTTATATTGTATTTTAAAAAAATATTAATATATAAATATTAATATAATTAATAATTTAATTTTTTTTAAAAAAAAATTTAATATATTATTTTTTCGAGTTACTCGTGAATTTTTCGAGTGTAGTATCAAATAATTTATTTCAACTGAAAGTACAATCTATTTAAATTAACTATTTATTGAACTTTAACGAATCAAACTCAAATAATTTTTGATTTTCGATTCTCATTTACTGCCCTATTTCCATGCAAAGCTTTTCTTTTTAATTTTTTTTTTGTTAAATTTTGGTTTAAAAAGGAAATAATAATTATTTCACCACACATGAGACAAGTTTTTAAATATACGATCAAATCGATCTGATTTATTTATTTAATAAAATAATTTAATAAAATGAAAATTCCCCAAAGCTTGCTTCAACGTCACTCTGCTCCTGATTTCCATGTGAATATTTTTATGATATTTACGATAATCTTTAAACTAATGTTAGTCGGTCAAATTATCGAGATATTGTTGTGGAAAAAAATTTCAGAGATAAGACACATCAGGAATTATTTCTCCATCTGTGGTGAAATCTACAGTAACAACACAAAGACTCTATGATTGCATAGTATCTTCAGGCCAAACGTATAGATTCTAGGAGTGCACGACGTCTTCAGGCGAATGGTTAAAACTCTAGGAGTGCACGACATCTTCATGCTAATGGATAAGACTCCAAGAGTGCACGACGTCTTTAGGTCATGCAGAAACATGTAGGTTGCCTCAGACTAGGAAACAAATAAGTAATAATGGCTTTAGTAATTGTCTATTAATAACTCGGGTAGGTTGGTGGTTGAACGGGAAACAAGTGAGCACCATTAATATCCCGGGATGGTATAAAATGAGGTGTTTTGGTTGAGAATTGGGGATCACAGCAGAGGTGAGGAGAGGGGAGAACAATTGAAAGAGTGAGCATCCGGGAAGAATATTAGAGAAAATTTTGAACGAAATTTTCTTTCAATATTTAATATGTAAGTATTATTCGAATAAGACTTTATTTTAAGTATTATTCGAATAAAATTTTATTTGAAGTATTATTCGAATAAAATATATCTATTTTATCTCGTATTATTTAATATTAAAATATTAATTTTAATAAGTCGTTGCTGGTAAAAAAGAAATGAGCAAGAAATTCGAAAATGTTTTTTATAATATCAACTTGTCGGAAGAAACTCTTAAGTAAGTGTCAAATTTTTTTATTTAAAGTATTTAACGATTTATTTTAACATTATTGATTTAGTATTTATAGTAGAAATGTTAAGATAATTAGATCAATATATTAATTTAGCATTTGTAGTAGAAATGTTAAAAAATATAATTATAATTACAAAAAATAATATTTATTATAATGATGAAAATAATAACTTCAATAATATTTATTATAATTAATTATTTTTTAATTAATTTAATCATTATTATAATTTAGTCATAAGTAGTTATAATATATTCAAAATAAAGATATAACATTCTTATTTTAATTGATAAAATATTGTTAATATATTTACATTTTTTTTGCAAGGTTTAATAAATTTAATTTTTACCTTACAAATGATTAGCATACTTTGATCAACATTTGATTTAGTATTTCTAGTAAAAATGTTAAAATAATATTGATTTAGCATTTGTAGTAAAAAAATTAAAAACAATTATTTTAATTTTAATAATAATAATAACTTTAATCCAATATAATTTTAATCTAATATGTCACAAATTGTTTTATTTATGTACTTTATTTTTTATTTATTATGCATATCTATATTTGTATATGTAAAAAATTAGCAACAAATTTTTCATGATTGTCCATTATAATGGACAAATTATGGAAATTGGGGTCGGAGTTATTTTCAGTCTGAAGGACCTATAAATATGATGTTTAAAAGGGACATCACATTTGTAGAAATAAAGGAGATAATAGAAAGGAAAATCCGAGCTACAGTTGATGGTTTGAGGTACAAGTTTATGGTATGTCCAAATCCAGTCAGGTATGCTGCAATACCACTTGAAGAATATGATGATATTACAACTATGATTGAATTGCATAACTCAACAAATATTCCAATTATTGATTTATTTGTTGAGGTGTGAAAAATATCTAATGTGCCCGGGTCATCAAGAAATATGGTTGGAACTTCATCTCAAATAGCTTTCGAAAGTCATATTGAGAACCCGACTTATAGATATATAAACAGTTTTGTGGCGATATTGGAAAGTACAAACAAAGTCAGTGGAACATCTGCAGTCGTAGAGTATGGGGCAAGAAGCATACATCATCCGTATTCGACTGTTGATGTTGACGCTGAAAACTGTTGGGGAGAAAAACATGATGATTCCAGTGTAGATGAAGAATTTGAGGAACCTGTTTTGGATGAGGATGGCAATATTTTTGATGGTGATGAACCTGATATGACCATTGATGAATATCCGACACTATATCAACCTACCCCTCACATGCACAAGATAGATTATCATGCGATGAGGGCACATGAATTCCTAGAGATGTCATATTTAACTTCTGGCCACATGACTGAATTAACCGAATACTCTGGTGAATTATCAGTTGGGAAGCAATTTAGAGGGAAAAATGAAGATACATTGGCGATTAAAGAATATTGCATAAAAGCCCATGTAGATTGTAAGGTTGTAGAGTCCAACTAGAAAACTCTGTACGCTAAGTGTGTTAAATATGGACCCAAGTATAAGTGGATGATCAGAGTGTCCAAAATGCAGAGGAAAGATTCTTGGGTCATCACATGGTTCAATGGTCCACACACATGTTTGCAAAACTCTATCGAACAAGACCACCGGCTATTGGACTCTGGTGTAATATGTCAATATGTGAAGGTATTGGTTGAAAAAAAATCCAAGGATCTCTTGCTCGATGTTAGCTACATCTATTCGAGACATGTTAAGATACAATGTAAAATACAAACCAGTTTGGCATGAGAAGGAGAAGGAAATGAGGTGTTTATATGGCGATTGGGATACATCATACAATGAGCTACCTGATTTGTTACAAGATATGAAATGATTCATACCTGGAACCATCGTGAAGTCTTAGATCATGCCTGCATACAACCTAGAAAATCAACTTATTCAATGGAAGAGAATATTTCATAGACTCTTTTGGGTATTAAAGTCATGCATAGAAAGTTTCCCATTTTGCAAACGAATGGTCCAAGTAGATGGTACGTGGTTATACGGTCAATATAAACATATATTATTGATAGCAATTATGCATGATGGTCAACGAAATATATTCCCGATTGTATTCGCCATTTTTGAATGAGAGACGATAGAGGCTTGGGATTTTTTTACTAATCTACGTAAGTATGTCTTCTGAGAAGATAGAGTTTGCTTGATATCCGATCGAGGAACATACCTTTTGGCAGTAATTAAACAACCGGGAAGTCGTTAGACACCTCAATATGCATATCCCTCATATTGTATCTGCCATATTGGTAAGAACTATAATTAGAAGTTTCATAACAGTCGCATTCGTAGTGAGATAGTCAGCATGAGTAAGTTTTATTTTCAACAAGTGCATCCATTTATTTAAAGTTTGTTTCTAAATTGACGTTAACACAATATGTATTATGAAACATTATATGAACTATGCCAACCAAATTTGATAAGAGACTGGAAAATTTGAAGGTCACAAATGAGCGAGTTTAGAAGTGAGCATCAAAAATTGAGCGGGAAAAGTGGTCGCAAGCATACGATGGTGGTCAGCGATATAGACACATGACAACAAACCTTGTTGGGGCCATTAATTCAGTACTAAAAGGTACACACCATCTCCCAATAGCGAGTGTGGTGAAAAAGACGTACTTTAGGTTGGCTAAAGTTTGGTCTGATAAAGGGAAAGATATTAAGTGTATGATAAATCGAGGTAAAATCTGGGCTTTGACAGTGGTGGAAGCAATGGAAGCAAATGAGCAATTGGCAACCTCAATGTTTGTTCATGACTTTGATCGAATTAGACATACTTTTGTTGTCATCGCATGCATACGTCGCAACGAATAAGCAGAGTGAGAAACTTTTAGAATTAATTTACTACAAAGATGGTGTGATTGTGGCTGCTTTCAAGCATGGAGATATTTGTGTGCTCATGCAGTCACTGTATGTATGCATACTGAAATAAATTCATATGTCTATGTTGATGAGTGCTTTCACCTGTAAAGGATATTAAATGTCTACATCCACGAGTTCAAACAGATCTTAAATGAATCATATTGGCTGAAAAAACATGATGATGAATGGTTACCAAATCCAATGCTTCGTAGAAGTCCAACGGGTCGACCTGAATCCACTATACTCATACCAGTATGGATATCCATATTAGAGAGAAAGGTTAACCGAAGAGATGTGGATTATGTAGAGGTGAAAGTCATTCAAAAAAATTGTCCAAACCTACCACAGTACAAGGCTCAGTAGTAATCTTATTTCTATTTGAACAAATAATTAAATTATTGGCCTATTTATTGATGTTATATTTGAATGAATGTGATTAATATCAATATTTAAA